TTCCCAAATGTGGCACATGCCTGGTACAGGAGGAGCCAGTAGGAAAGGCCAGTCCAGGGAACTGTAGGGATGCTTCCCAAGGAGGCCAATGATTTGGGCTAGGTTAGATCCTTTCTCTTTCTCCTCCACCTACCTTGCTGCTTAAGAGAAACCTCAGGGTCAGCTTCTAGGGGTAACCTGCTCTGGAGGGCCACAGCCTCTCCAGCTTAGCTTTGGGGAGAAGCCAGAGGTATCCGTGCCCTCTCTGTGGGCGTTTCTCCTGCACCTGCTCACGTTGATTCCACTGTGGCCTGGGTTACTTAGGTCTGCCTCACAGTAAATGGGGACTAGTTAGAATGGGGCCCCTGCACTGACCACTTGTGACTGGGAGCAACTTGCTTAGTCTCTCCAAGCCAAGCATCTCATCTGCCGGGGGATGGTGGGGAATAATTAGGCAGTGCAAGTGCGTGGCTCAGAACCTGGTTCACAAGGTGCCTTCAGTGTGGCTCCTTCTTCCCTGCCCAGGGTCACTATTATCACAGGAACAGCTACCAAATAGAATATGTAGGTTCCCCTTGAGCCCTCTCTGGCCTGATTTGGTTCAAGGACAGCGACTCTGTATGTAGGGTTCATGGGCCAGCTCTCCTGGTATCCCCTTCTCCCCAGCTTTGTGCACATCTACTGGTAGTGTCTGGTGCTTTTGGGCCCACCTGTATGCCCTGTGGCTGTGACACTGACCCAGGTTGCAACACTGTCCAGGTTGCTGGTTGAGATGAATGCTTAGAATATCCAGAGCACTGCTGACTACGTGAATGCTGGTGCTATTTGTTCCTTTCTATTTGGTGGTTAACCTTGGGCCAGTCCCCTCAGTTTGAATCCTAGCTTATCTACATGTTTCCTGGGTGACCTTGACCCATGGGCATTCTGCCACTGCCTGGATTTCCTTACAGAGAGGGAGGTGTGATAGCATCTCCTGCAGGGGCTTGCATGGGGGTCCTGGGAGCAGCTACTTATACAGAGTACCTCTTGTCATCTTACAGAGTTCCTTCCTAAAGAATAGAGAAATGTTTCATATGAATATTTTATGTGCATTTAGTGAGCTGATGAGCTTTAGGGATTTAGACAAGTTCCTAGATGCCGACTGGAAAGACGTGTGTGTACTTGGTATTCTGTGTGTGAAGTAAGACAAGAATGTGCATGATGATCCATATGTATCTCTCACCTGCATGCACATGCGCACACACATACACTTCTAATATATGCCCCGAGCCCTAATCCAGGTTGGCCCTGGCCTTGGAGAATCTCTGTCACCTCTGAGAGAAGTCTGTACCTAATTGGCTTGGGAGAACTGTCTTAATTAGATTTCTTTAAGGCAAAGTCTGATGCCAATTTATTTTGCTCGGGTTTGGGATGGTACGTGGCACTGTGTCCACCTCTGGAGCAGACTTGACTATCCTGTATGATGGCACGCAGTGCTGGGTCTACCCTCATTCCCAAGTTGGGAAACTGGTGCCAGTGATCCTTTGGGGATGGTGAGAGGTGGGCTGTGTACTCCAGGTAGACTGAGCAGTGTGAGCCAGTGTCCATGTGGCATTGCGGTGACTGCTTCAGGTTATTGGGATAGTGCTGTGGGGGGGGGGCAGGCTAGGGCCCAGGAGACCCTTACAGAATTGGATCACATTCTCAGGCCAGGGCAGGCTTTTTGTGGGTGTAAAGCAAGGAATGATGTGACCAGATTTTTTGTTTTAGAAAAATTACGTTCCTAAAATGAAGAAGTTGGTAGAAACAGCAGCATAAACTAGAATGCTAGCATAAATAAATACTGCAGTATCTGCACTAAAGAGCTGTGACTGCTGTCCCAGCCAGCAGGTAGCCAGCCTGTCAAACCCTTGGAACATTTTCCTATTGTGGCTCATCGGTTGTTTGCTTTCCCATGGCTGTCTTGGGCTCCTACTTTGAGTCTGATCACCCAGGGATTTCCTCTCCCTTCCAGCTTCAGCCTTGCATTGTGGGGTACTGTGGTGACCACTGACACTCTCTAAAGTCACTGGGGATGATGTTTAACAGAGTCAGAGAAAATAAAAGAAGCAAATCATTCATTCTGAATAAGGGCTGGTTGTTCTTTTCCTTCATGTTGCTGAGATTGGGAAAGGCTTAGATTATGTTCCTCTTAATAATTGTGCTTAGGAATGATGTTTTTAGTTGAATACTTCCAGAAAGTCTCATGGACACTCTGGGGCTAACAGTAATGTTGGGTGCAAATTATGTCTTTTAAATGTGGAAATGCCACAGTGACTTTAAAATAGTCTGCCCCCATATTCTTGTCTCTTCCTAATACTGATGTGGCAGTCCAGGTATCATTATCATGTAGAGTTTCACAGCAGAGACTGAAGATGACAATTCACTTAGAGCCTCCAGATGTCCCTCTTAAGCCTCACCTGTAAGCAGAGCCTTGGAGTCGTTAAGGATGCACTTGATTCATTCACGTGGCTCATCATGGCACAGATTTTCTCCTCCTAAGAAACCATTTGCTATGGACTGACTTATGTCCCTGAACTCACACATCGAATTCCTTGCCCCCAGTATGACTGCACTTGGAGACAGCACCTTTAAAGACATAAATAAGGTTCAATGAGATCCTAAGGGTGGGACCCTAATCCAACAGGACTGCAGCCTTATAAGAAGAGCAAGAGACACTAGAGTGCTTTCTCCTCTCCATGTGAGGACTCTGTGAGAAAGAGGCTATCTGCAAGTTGAGAAGAAGCCCCTCACCAGGAACCGACCATACCCACTCCCTGATCTCAGACTTCTAGCCTCTAGAAGAGCAAGAAACAAATGTCTGCCATTCAAGCCACCTTGTCTGTGGCTCTATGTTGTGGTGCTTGAGCTGCCCGAAGCGCCATGTTTTATGTACTCAGTGGCTGCATTTTTGGGAGAGTAATCTGGGGTTGGCCTGTCTGAGGGCAGGCCCCATCAGATATAAACAGATGTCACTTATTGGTCATTGAAGAGTTTTGGGACAAGTATGTGGTTGTCAGGCTCTCCTCAATCTGAGAGCCTGCTTGCCCCTTTGGGCCTCATGGCTGTTAACTTGTCTGTTCTTTATAGCTGGCTCTTTGGGGCTCTTTTTCAGCAAATGGGAAGGCCAACACATAATTAACAAGAACAAGAAGAGTATCACTACTATGTGTCAGGCATTGTTTAAGGAAAAGCATATTTATATGTATATCTAAATATATGCAAATATATACATTCATTATTATCATCTATCATCTGTCATCTAGATATACACACACACACACACATTGACATATTGCTCACTTTCGATCCTAAAAGCAACTCTGAGGTAGCCACTTTTTAATTGAAGTGTCATTCATACAACATAAAGTTAACCATTTAAAAATGTACAATTCATACTCTGGTTTCTCTTCAGATCATATAAATCTTTCACCTTTTACTAAAAATGTACAATTCAGTGGCATTGAGTACATTCACAATGTTGTACAGTTGCCTGATCTATCTAGTTCTAAAGCATTGTCATAGCCCCCCTACAAAACCTCATACCTATCAACCAGTCACTCCCAACCCTCTACCACTGTCCTGGCCACACCAATCAGCATTTTGCCTCTGGATTTGCCTATTCTTGACGTGGCACAGAAATAGAATTATCCAGTGTGTGGACTTTGGTGTCTGGCTTCTTATACTTAGCATGTTTTCGGGGTTTTTCCATATTGTACCATGTATCACAATTTCAATAGTTTTTAGGGTTGAATAATATTCCACCAATGTGCGATATTAATGGACATTAGGGTGTTTTCCACCTTTTGGCATTGTGGAGAGTGCTGTCCTGAATATTCTCATTCAAGTTTTATCTGAACACCTATTTCACTTTTTTGGGACATATCCCTAGGAGTGGAACAGCTGGGTCACGTGGTAGTCATATGTTTAACTTATTGACAAACCACCTGGCATTCTTTTATTCCTATTTTCATAAATGAAGGACCTTATGTATAGGGAGACAGAAGGATATGCACAAGATAAGTAAGACAGCCCTCTGGTGACAAAGGCAGGTCTCTGTTGGCCTGTCCCTGGGAATCCACCACCAGGCCCTGGCTCCCTGGCCTGTATGTCAGACTCCGGCTGGGCACTCCCAGGCCAGAACAGTGAGACAGGGTAGTGATGGGCTCAGAGAGGAAGGGTGTCCATGCTGGGCCTTTTCTGGAGTAGGAGACACAAAGGGCTTTCTGAAGGATGAACAGTGTGAAAGAGGACACACAATCTCAGGTAGTTAATGAGCTCTCATGGTTCTGGATTTTGTTTGACTGTTTGATAAGGTACCTGTAGTTTTTAGAACCTCCAACTACACAGGTTGGCCAAAGGTACCACCAGTGTCCTTGCTTGGCAGGATGTGTGAGCTTCTGTCTTTCAAGCTGTTCCCTCATACATACCCTGGTGGTATTGTCTTCTAACCTTTTTAAGAGGAGACCCCTGGGCTGTGGGACCACCCTCTGTGTGGCAGTCCTGGCAGAGGCAGAGGCCTTTTGAGAGCTATTGCTGTCTTTCCCCTCAGAGGCACCCTCATGTGCCCCAGCAACAATCCTTCAACAAGATGAAGATTTCTGCCATTGGAGACACTCACTTTTAGATATGGTGTTACTTGGCTTTGCTTTTACTGACAGTAAATTGCTGAAGGCACTTCAATTACACAGTGAAAATCATTAGCAGAATTCTTGTTACTTAGCATCAGACTGTGGGATTTAATCGTTGTTTCTTATGGGTGGCAAAGCAAATATATCTGAAGGGAGACTTATTCAGATTTCCTGGAATATCATTATCACATTCTTGTGTGATAGTTTCCTGGTAATTCAACTTGATTTAGTTTAATATACCAGCATGACTTTTCTTTGCAAGTTGTGGAGATTTAAATTTGTTTAGAAAAGAAAACATTGAAGACAGCTCAAAAGTCCTGTTTATGTGTTCATTGCATGAGAATCTGATGGTTTTACCTCCTGGAAACTTACACTCCTTTTGCCCAGAGGACAGAAGCAGGTGGAAGTCACTGGTGTGGACCGGCCACCCATTGCCTCCTCCTCTCCACTGCTGCCCCTCTCACCCAGGTGTGAGAATGCCACTGCACTGTCCTGTGCGAGCACAGATCTGCAGGAGGCAGCAGCAGCAGTGGGCTGTTCCAGAACACAGGACTCCACTTGCCTCTCAAGCTCAGGGGATTTGTCACCAGTAGCAGCATTCCAGGCTTTGGATGACATAGCCACGGGCCCAAGGGCTCCTGCGCTGACACGTGCACAGTCTCCCTCTCTCTCCTTCATTCGCCCTCACTGGCTCCTTGAGTTCACTCACTGCCTGCAGCCCAGCTAGTTTCTGGGCCCATGAAGTGCTGGGGCCACCAATGTTGCTGGTACTTGGTCCCACAGTGCTCTCCTGCATCTCTTCTGTGGTTTGAATCTACAGGAAAAGTTTCCACCATTGACAGTGCTGTAAGTAAGACTTGCTCCTTGGGAGGTGGGAGGGAGATGGCACTTGCAACCCTGGGTTAGAGACCAGGTGACAGTGTGCTGTTTGTTAGAAGGTGTTGGTATGCCTGGAGGCTTGAACTGCCCTTGAAAGCCTGTTGAGAGCACTGTTCCCTGTGTGAACTGAGGGGATTGCATGGATCCCCAGGGAGGGCCTCACTCCCATTCTGTAACTGCCTCCCAAGGCATCTATGCATTCCCATCAACAGAAAGGGAACTGGCATTGGGCAGATTACAGTAATTTTTCTAAATGCTAGAAAACTCTAGTGCCCGAGTGAAATGCAGGTTGGCCTGGCTCTGTGTCACCCCTCATCACAGTTCTCCTTTGGGTCCCAAAGTCCTACATTTCTTTTACAGTTTTTCTAGACTTGACTTCATTTAAAGCTGTTTAAATTCTATTAGAACTTTGTTTCATGATAGTCTTATTACCCTTTCTTTTTAGATGGCCAGTTTACAGTTTTAAAATCTCTTGTGAGTTTTTGTTTTTTTTTCTCCTCTGAAAGCACTTGACAGGCTGATGACTGAAACCACTCATGTTTCTTTTTGTACATATTTCTGAACATATGTTCTTCTTCTATCTCCTGCTGTGTTTTGTATGTGTGTGCTTTTTTTAACATGGTAGGATGTTTTCATGGCTTTGGTGTTTCTTGAAAGAGAAGCCCAGTCTGGTCCTACCTGGGCCCTAAAGTGTGTGAGCATAGTATGTGAGGCCCTCATCTCTCTTAGGGCCTTGTACTTTGAGCGGGGTGACAGACAGCTCATTTGGGCTGGGCCTCATGCCACTTTAGAAGCTAGCAGCTCATGTAGGATGTTGACAGGAGGCTCCATGACCTCTGGCTCTTACATGGCACACCATTTAGCTGGGGCCTAAGTCTCCCTCCAGGGCACACTGCTTTTTTGGAAGGTTTTCAGAGGGGCCTTAAGGTTCCCAGCCATCCATGCTGTCACATTGGGGCTTACAGAAAGCCTTTTACATTTGTGACCATGAGTGGTTTGTTTTTCTGACTACTTTGCAGGACTCATTGGCAATTTGGGAGATGGAGAGGGAAATGGGTATGGTTTGGCCAGTGGTCTTCTTCCACCAGTCCTCCCATCATACCTCACAGTCCTTGCTTTTTCCCTCTCCCTTAGCCAGGTGTCTGCATCACTATCCTAGACAGAATCAAACCTTCGTTATGACCCTGATGCTTTTGTGGCCTTGAACCAAGCTTTGGATTTTGTAACATTAAGCTTCCCTGTGCTCACGTCCAATAGATGATACATCTTGAGGCCAGGACAGTAGGCTACCTAAAATTCTATACAGATTACGCATTGAGTGATTTCTTTAAAATTTGGTGGGTATTCAATAAAGACTTAGGATTGTGGTTGATTGTAAACTTAATAGTGTAGTGTCATGGGTGGCTAAAAAGTAAATTTCAGTCTTGAGCTCTTTCTGAGCAGCATATTGGCCTGAACAAGGGGTGGGGGCAATGTCACTGGAAGAGTGTGCCCATAATAACAAACATGATCAGTATAACATCTATCCACCATAGCCAGGCTCAGAGCAGGGCAATAAGAATTGGGAAAAGCCAACACACCAGGTCCTGTGAAACATTATTTTCCAGGTCACAAGTTCTTCTGTGGCTCAGACACTGCAGAGTGTGGGTGGGTGGGTAGGTAATGGGAGGCAGGACCAAGAGCAAGGCAGACAGCTGGGCCATATGCAACATAACTGGAACCTGTGTTAGAAAGTAAGGGATCCAGAGTGAATTATAATCTATAAAAAGAATCATACATACATTCTACAGTTGAAAAATATAGGCTCTAAAATGAATAATTTCATTGGACAGGAGACCGGACATAACAGAAAACAGGCTTAGTGGGTGGGCAGCAGTTCAGTGCAGGGTATCTGTATCGACCACAAGAGAACAGAATACAAAATAGAATGTGAGTGACCTGTGGGCAAAGTCAAAAGGTATAATGGAATGGAATGAGTTTTGGTGGGGGGCAGTGCATTAAAAATATTTAAATAGGTGCCCTGGCTGGTAAGGTTCAGTGGGTTGAATGCCGGCCTGCAAACCAAAGGGTCGCTGCTGGTTCAGTTCCCAGTTGGAGCATATGCCTGGGTTGTGGGCCAGGTCCCCAGTAGGGGGCATGTGAGAGGCAACCACACATTGATGTTTCTCTCCCTGTCTTTTTTCCTCCTTTCCCCTCTCTCTAAAAATAAATAAATAAAAATATTTGAATAGGTAAAGGCCATGGATTTTTCCAAGCCATTGAAAGGTATCAATGCTAGATTCATGAAACAGCCTATGCTAAAATGTGTAAGTTAGAAAGGAAACAAACAAGAATCACCCTTCTCACATCTAAGCACATGATTGTTGACAACTAGAGGCAAAGACAGTCTGAAAAGCAACCAGATTTCAAGATGGCCCATTGCTCTCCCAGGAGCCATGGCCTGCATCTGGCACAAGTCTCTTGGCCATGCCTCTCTGAGTGGAGCTGCTGCTCCCCTGCTCATGCACATCTGATCCATTCTTCTGCTCATGCACTTCTTATCTGATCCATTCTTTTTGTTCATAGTTTGTACTCAGACCAGCAAAATACAGAGGTGCCTCACGTAGTGATTGATCAGGCAAGCCCTTTTCTCCACAAGTGCTCTTCCAAACTACACCAAATTTTGGAGCACCATCTTTTCCCCTCCCTGCAATGACTTCTGTACCCAAAACAAATTACATAAACTATATGGAAGTGATATTATAGCATTATGGTTTCAAAAAAGAGACATATATCAATTTCTTCTTTTTTCCTTACAAATATTTTATTAGATTTAATGCAAAGTATTTTAATTTTACTATTGTGAGTTTTAAAATTTTAAATTTTCTTACTCTTATTCTTATTATTTTTTATTATTGTTCAAGTAGTTATCTCCATTTTCACCCCATCTCAGCTCCCCCATCCCACCCGTCCCCACCTCCCACCCTCGAACCTACCCCCCTTGGCTTTGTGCACGTGTCCTTTATACATGTTCCTTGATGGACCTTCTCCTATTCTCCCCCTTATCCTTTTCCACCAGAAAATATGGAATGAATGACACTGCGTGCAGTGTTTGGATGAACAACAATAGGTTCATGTGTGCATCCTGTGAGAGCCGCCACAGCGGTTCTATCTCCCATCACTCTCTTTGTTGTGAATCTCTTTCCATGTGTCATCATCCTGTCCTAATGGTGCTGTGCCATGCTGCAACTTGTACGTGCACTCACAGTGCAAAATAACCATGAACCTCAAAAGGCATATAAATTGGTGGAAAAAATAGCGCAGAAATTAGAATGTGCCTTCCCAAGAGTGACTCTCTTGTACCATTCTCCTCCAGCCACACCACTGGGAAATCCTGTCCTCTTCCTCTGAGGCATACTGTCAAGCCTTCCTAATATTTCATTTTGAGCAAATGCAGATTGTGTTTATTTGCTTTTAAATTATTTATTACTTTCATAAGTTTGTTTTTACCATCCAAGTCATATTTTTTTCTACCTGTGAAAATTGTTTGGTTATTTTTGGTTGGGATTGAACACATCATAATTTTTCCATTACAATCAGTGGGTACATTGTTTTCCTCTATAGTAGAATGGTTTTCAGAACAAAATAACAGCCTAAGTGATGGGAAGGTGTTTCAGCGTTCCCATTACTCCTTGTTCTTGCCAGCACTTGGCAAGGAATTGCCAGACTGTTATATTTTAGGCAGTCTAGTGGGTGAGTATTTACATCTATTTTTGTTTTTAATTTGCATATCTTTGATTACTAATGAGACTTAAGTACCTTTTCATGTGCTTATTGGCCATTTGGATCTCTTTTGTGAAGTGCTTTTCTGGGTTTTACCCATTTTTCTATTTATGTCTGCTGGTCCCAGATGTTTCCACAGGGGTGGATTTTCATGCTAGATAAAAGTGTAGCAAAGTATAGGAAATCTTTGGGAAAGAAAGAATTTTCTCAATAATATATTTTCAAACATGTGAGCATGTAGGGAAAAGCGATGCTCACACACCCCTGCTGAAAGAGCTCCTTGAAGATGGGACCAGACACCATACAGAGCCGTGGAGTGAGGGTGTGAAAGGTCAGAGAAAGTCTGGTGGGGACCCCACGTGCACAATATACAGGGAGTGTGGAGAACAGGATGGTAATGTCACAGACCTCATGAGAAGCAGTAGTAGTGTGCATGGCAGTGATGGAGGAGCACAGTGAGGAGTGAGCAGGCAGAGGGGACCAGGGCACGATCTATTTGCTTCATGTTCTTCCAGGCCAACTGACCAATGCATGAGGCATTTAAGAGCATCACATAGAGATTATCAGTAAAAGAACCAAAAATAGTTAATAGGGACTCACACCATGTAAATGTGGTAATTCCCACACCATCCATGGTGAGTCATTAATTATTCTGCTTCATGTACAAAGGTCATGAGCAGGCCTTTCACATACAAGGTCCAGATGTTCAGGGAACATAAAAAAGACCTTAAAGTCTTGAACAATTAAACTTATATGGTAACATTTCACATCTCAATTTGTCAGAGATCAGAATGTGAACAGTGAATCATGTGGGCAGTGGCTGGAAGGATAGTACTCATGAACTTGATGGGATATAATTTGCCTAGACCTATATGTAGGAGGTTTTGGTTAATTTCTATGAAATTAAAAATGTACAGTATTTTACCTCTCATGCTGAGGTACCTTTGAATGTGCTGATTGAAGAAAACTCTAAGCTGTATGAAGGTGAAGAATACTGTGGCAGGTGCAGAGCAGGCATGCATGTCTCCTGCCACACACACAGAACATTGTAGATGGGCTCACAGGGATGGTGACAGTGACTGTGAACTCAGCAAAGTAGGAGAGAGTCTGACTTTTCTTTGTTTATATTTTTATTCTTTATACTTAGAAAACTATAGTTTTGAAGAGTTATGAAAACTACCTAAGACCAGGAAGAGTTTTAATTGTTATATTGTTAAAAGAATCTATGTGTATTGCCAAGCTTAGTCCAGACTCATGGTTGGTTACTATTATTTAATCATTGAGAAACCTGAAACATGAAGTGAAATAATTCACCCACCATTTTGGGAACACACAGAGCAGAGAATGTTCTGGCATCATTACTGCTCCTACATAGAAGGGACACAGAATAACAGTCATTAAAATGCCATAAATAGCAACATGTCCTGAATTTACCCTCACCCTCTGAAGGAATTGTCTGTCCTGCTCCTTGCACAGAAGCGCGTCCCAAAGGGCAGCACTGTGCTGATGGAGCAGGATCTTCCCGCCTTGTGACCCTGACAGCTGCATTCTCTCTCTGAGCTTTATGCCCACTTTGTAAAAGTGGTGATAATCATACCTGCTTCCTAATCTGGCAAATACTGGGTGTAAGAGAATAATAATGAAAATGCTTGTAAAAAATAAAGTGCTTAAGTATTGTTAGTTTCTCCCCCTTTTAGGGATTTGGCATGTCTTTTTAATCCAGTGCCTATTTCTGGAACATAATTCTTTGGGTATGAGTAGGATAATGACTACATCTTGAGGTTTCATCTAAGTTTTTTAGAAGTATGTTCCTGCCGCCCTCATTTTATTAAGGAGCCTCCTGAGACCCCAGCCATTCCCTGTGAGGGTTAGGGTTGGTGGCCCTGGGTTACTGCACATGGAGTCTCAGGAAAGACCTCCCAGGAGGGTGACAGTGCCCACAGGCAGGGCCTCTTCCTCAGTTTCTTTATTCCATTGAAGTACACATAGGTGCTTGGCTGGGGTCCACAGCATGCCAGGCACCTCTGAACTCTTCCAAATCTGTTGCCAGATTTGTAAAAACACATTTCTGCTGTATCTGAGGGCACTTGCTGTTCCAACAATGTGTTGTAAGTCAGAAGCCACAGTAAGCAGTTGAAGCTTTGAGGTGCAGCTCAGGCTATACAGGATGCATGGACAGGGTAAGGACTTTGAGTAGATCAGAGCAGAGGCAGGGAGGGCACCTTGGAGACGGTGGGAGCATCCACGTGGGGCATGGACAGGGGCACACACACACCAGGGAGCAACGCCTTGACCTATGAAATTGTGTGTGACAATTGCTGATGGTCACAAATCAAATTTCAAATATATCAGGTGTTTGTGAACCCCCAGATATGAGAATGATAAGTAATTGGGGCCAAGTGGGATTTCAAGGTGTGCCACAACATTGGCCTTGCTGAGTTCATCGGGTAACGTGACACTTTTCCCTTGCTTTTTGGTAGATGGACAGTGTCCTCACCCTCGGGGGAAGCAGGTGGGCTGGCAGGACAGGCGTCCACAGGCCGGGAGAAGGAGACACTCCCAGGTACTCTCATCTACCCCTGCTGGTGACCTACCTGCCCGGCCCCATCCTCTTGCAAACAATGACTCACCTGTGACCCCTGCCTCTCCTGGTCTGCTTTGCCCACCTGTGCCCTGCCTGTGCCCAACCTCAGTGCCTGTTGGTTGACCCACCTCAGCCCAGATCTTGACCCTCCCTTCTCCCACCCCAACTCGGGGCCTGGTCCTCACTTCCGGTTGCTCCCTTTGCTTGACCACTTCTTTTAAGGTTCTTAACCCTGAATTGTACCCTGGCTTCCATTAACCTCCTAACAGGGTGAGCACAACCTGCTGGTACTCATGCCTCTCGGATGCTTCTCAGCTGTTCGTTTCCTTTAACAGGGTCATTTGTAGTGAAATGAGAAAGAACGTCCTGTCACTTCAGTGATGCAACCTGGAGTGTGTGGTGATGTTATTCTTCATCTATACAGAATGTTAATGCTTTCACTGACTACAGGTGATTCTCTTTGGGTTAGAAACATAGTGAAGGTAATGAGACACTTCAGAATCAGAACTGATTTTAGGAGTAATTCTAATGAAGCTGGGAAATTTTAATTGTGAACTCAGATTCAACAGATTCCTTTTGCAGACAGATCAAGTACATGCTTTATGCCAGGTTCTGGTTCTAGGCTGGGTCAGGCCTGTCAGCAAACACAATGACAGGCTCTGTCCCCAGAGACAGCCCCAAAAGGTAGACTACACCTGAGAAAGCAAGTGATGAGCTCCATTGATAAAGGAAAAGGGATAACAACAGTGAGAGAGTGTGTGTGTGTGCACGTGTGTGTCGGCATGTGCATGTGCACATGCATGGTTGTGGTTGGAGGTTGTTAGTGGTCAACAGGGCCATCAGGTTGCCTTCACTGAGAAGGTGACATTTAAGTAAAGGTGAGTGCATGAGTAATGGAAAGAGAATAGCATTCTAGGCAGAGGGAACAGCCAGTGTGAGACCTCAGTGTGAGGATGGCTGGAGAACAGCCATGGGCCAGTGTGGTGGGTTGGTGAGCAAGGGAGAGAGGTGTGAATGGGTCACTGTGGCCTATGAGAGCTTTCACTCTGTGAGGGCAGAGGGGCCAGAGCAGAAGGTGGTTCTTGCAGAATTGCTCTGACTTCTGGTGGGAGAATAGACACTTAGGGGACCCAGGGTGGAAGTAGGGGCCAATAAGGAGGTGCTACCTGAGTCAGGTGAGAAGTAATGCTGAGGAGGTGGTGAAAGCTGGTCAGATTTGGGATGTGTTTGGAAGGCAGCGCCAGTGTGGATTCCCAGCAGAGTGGCAGTGATGTGAGGGGGGCAAGGATGATGGCAAGGTTTTAGGCTGATAAAGGATGGCATCCTCTCGAGCTCTTGAGACTAAGACTGTGGAGAGTATAGTGGGAATGTCGGCCTTCAGACATATTAAGGTGAGACACTTTGACATTCAGGTGACTGTTGAATCAGCAGCTGGACAGATGAGACTGTAGCTAAAATTAGGATGGGCTGGAAGTGGGGACTCATGCAGATTTCATGCAGGAAGCAGAGGCTCATCAAGGGAGCATCAGAGAGGGAAGAGGATCAGGGATGGGTTCGGGTGCCCCAACCTGACAGGCTGCAGTAGAACAGAGAACTGATTAAGGGCTAAGCCAGGACCCATGAGGGAGATGAGGAGGCCCAGAGGACACCACATAGGTCAGGAATGAGGTCTGACTCTATCCCTGCAGCAGTTTGGGAGAGAGAACTGTGGTTCATGAAGGTCAATGGAGCTTGAACAGTTTTGTTGACTCAAGGGTATGAGAGTAAAAAGTGATGTGCGAGCACTAGGGCAGGGGCCAGGGAAGGTTTATTCCACAGTGGGAGCAACAGTGACTGGTGGATGGGGTCATCAGCTGAGCTGCAGGGGTTGATAAGGTGGCTATCTGGAGGAGCAGGCTAGGTGGGTAGGTCATTGCCCAGAGGAGTTGCATCCCAGGAAACCTTCCTGTGAGGGGGACAAGGGAGGTTTGAAGACAGAGGAATTTGAATGAAATACACATCATCCTTAGGAACTGCCAGTATTTACATGTTTTTGCCACATAGTGAAAGGTAATTGCATAGGGTTCAACTTAAGGTTTGCGCATGAATGCTGGAGAACTGGAAGCATGGCCGGAGCAGGGAGCATGGTGTGCTGACTGGTGTGCGGTATGCTGACTGTGGTGCAGAAGCTATCTTGTAGTCTGTGGTGTGAGTGGAAGTGGTTTGTGTTTTCTCTAGTTCTATGCAACTGTTTGGGTATACGCAGGGACTGGCAGAGAGTGACATTTCAACAGGTCGTCACATTTGCCAAGCAAGAAGGAAGCAAGTTGAGGACAGAGGGAGACAAGCACTCATGCAAATAGTAGACGATGGTGACTCTAGGTGTAATCTGGGAGAGGGATGGACATACTTCCCCAGGGAGGAGGTGGGAGGGCAGAAAAGGCAGCTATCCATAACTAACTTTGTTTTTAAGTTGGCAGCAGTTGTGAATTAATTTCTTTCAAAGTACAATACAACTAAGAATTTTAAAAAAAATACAGCTACCTTTTCAAGTTAGAGAACAGTACTTGGTTTCCATGGTAACTGCCAACCATTTAACTATATGGTAAGTATTATGAGGTGACACAGGGTAATTAGACAACAGGGAAATTACAGGGTAAGTCTTAAATACAAAGTGATTGTGTGGTTGAGTTCTGCTTCTGAAAACAAGTCTGTGGTTCCTCTCTGGCCTCATTTGCTCTGACCTCCACCTTATGACCTGTCTTCAGCCCAGTGGCAGTGCCCACTCACAGGGCAACAGACAGTTGTTTAGGTATAAGTCCTGCTTCTTCTCTCCTTTCTTCACTGGGACCTCAGGCAGATTGTCCTTATGTTTCTCCAACCCTTGTCCTATGCCTCTGTGGACTGCTATGCCAGGACTAGGCTGGGAAGTAGGTGCTATGTCAGGACTAGGCTTGGAAGCAGATGGAGGCCACATACACGGCTTCAGGCTGTGGCTTTTGAGATTCATTTTATCAACCAGAACTTTAAAATGGGTATTTTAATACTTTGGGTAGTTCATTAACTGGCTTTGGGTAGTTCCAGGAACTGGCTGTTAAAAGAAAACCTAAGTAGGGTTTGTTTTTGTTTTTTTTTTCTAAAAACACAGTACAAATCAGTACACAAGTCAGTCTTCTGCAGATTGAACAAGATGGTTACCTGAGAGAGGATTCATCCTCTGTCACCTGTACCAGAATCCCCCAAAAGGCATACATTCTAAGACAGCCACAACAAAAGTAACTTATGACATTTGTAGAAACACTGATAAGTGCAGGTAGAGGGTCAGATGTTTTAATTAATTATTAAGGGATAAAAACAGATAGTGCATATGAAATCAAAATATCCCAGAAGACAGGTAGAGACTCCTAATGTTCTAGGAATGAGAATTTGGACACCCAGCTCAGGGTTAGTGGACATCAGGACTTTAAGAAGATTGGTTGGAAGCCCCTCCCACCCCTGCCCCATGCCTTGACTCCCATTGCCAGTGTATTCTTTGGACCACGGCAGCAGGTATTGTGTCCTGACAGCAACCAACTCCAGAGAGCAGAGAATTACTCCAGAAAACAAAATCTTGGCAGATACAGTCCAAAGGTACCCACCTCTCCTCCCCCCAAGTACCAGGGCAGACCAGAGTGAATGGAACTTATGTCCATGGCAGACAAATCAGGATTCTCAATAGTAGAGTTGTAGGCATAGCCAAGAGCTGTCATGGGTTTGAGGAGAACTAACAATAGGGGGAAGAATCACCAAAAACAATAAAAGAAGATGCTCAAGGGAAGAGTTAATGGCATAAAGAGAAGAACACTCATTTAAAACAAAACAAAACAAAACAAAAAAACATTGCTCCTTCAAAAGAAAAACCAAAGATTTTGGGGGGAAAACTTAGTCAAAGTGGAGCAATCAGGGTGGCTTAAAATCAGAGTATGGGCAAAATGAAGATAGAATCAGTGATTGGACAAATTAGTCAGTGATTATTCTAAAATGCAGACCTGGAGGGGGACCCCGAGTTATTCCAGAATGCAGGCCTAGAAGTCCTGGAGCTCTTCCAGAATTCAGACCTAAAGGTCCCAGAGTTATTTCAGAATGCAGATCAGAGGACATGAAACTATTCCAGAATGCAGACCCAGAGGATCTGGAGCTACTCTAGAATGAAGATCAAGGACTGAGAGTTGGAGAGTGTGAGGCCGAAGCAAGTCTGAAAAGTTCCATTTTCTGTTGCGTAGGAGTCTAAAAAGGAGAGAATGTAAAAGGCTGAGGAGGAATCATGAAAAGCTGCTATAAGGATCCTTCTAAGGCACAGAACATGTCAGGGGACTAAATGTTGAGCAGGGGAAGTGAGAAACCACAACTGCTTCAACGTATAAGGACACATTTTCAGGATATTATCAAATACAAGAAAACTACCAAAAGCAGTCAGCAGGAGCAAAGGTCTAGCTAGCAGTTGGCATCAAATTTCTCAATGCCAAAGTTTTATTCTAGAATTAATTGGATCAACATTTTCAAAGAACTTGGGGAAAAATTATTCCAAACTGGAAATCTTATACACAACTGGACTTGAATTCAAATTGAAGGGCGAAGGAAAGATGTTTCCAGACAGTCAAGGGCTCAGAACTTACTAGCTTCACCCTTAAGACACTTGACAAAGTGAAAAAAAGGCCACCATCTATCTATAAAGAGAGTGATGTTTGATCCCACTAATAGTAGGGAAAGAGTCCAGTTATGAAATAATTGTTAATGCACATTGGCATGCAAATTAAAATAATAGTTAAAAATCATATGTATATGTATTTATATAGTGACAAGAAAGAAAAAAATGAAAGTTCCCTAAACTTCGGTGTTTTCCAAGGGTTGTGTAGATCTACTCCTATATAGCCTATGGTATGTAACTATGCATTTAAACACAGTAACAATTTACGAGGCGTTACCAGTCAGAGGCACAGATGGTACAATTTCAATCTTGT